TGAGCTTCCATGGTTTGTGCTATGGGGTTCAGAATAACAGCGTAGGCACTTATGCTCGGGCTGGAGAGCAGGCGCTAAAACTCAGGCGACTGAGATCGTCTCAGGGCCTTGGCTCTTGCAGGTGCTTGAATGTTTATTTTTAACCCTGCAACTCAAGCCTGAGTCAGTTGACCTGGTATTAGATTCACTGCTGCTGAGTTTTTGTTGCTGAGTAGACATACCCATAAATCCCTCCTCCCCTCCACCAATTTATATAGCCAGTTTCAGCCCCAAGGCCTCTGAAGTGTGTCTATTGCAGACATGCAGCTACTTCTGAGGCAGAACACAGAAACAACTTAACAGCACACAGCAACATGACAAGAAACATAAAGTGCAAGCTTTGGCATTCACTTGGAACAGGAGTAAGAACTGAAGTGTTTGTCTACACGGTCCTGCAGTAAGGACTACAGGGAGTATGAAAAGTAGCGAACTAAAAATTCCTAGTTCACATTAAAATACTCTTCTTCAAATAGGACTTCATTAATATGATATAGGAACCTTTTACTTCGTGCCCGCCAAGCCCACATGGGGGAGTCACAGCACAGCATTTTGGTACACACTGCTATTCACAACCCAGTAGAACCATGGAACAATGTAGACGAAGCCTACATTGCAAGATGAGAGTTACTCAGGGTATGTCTACACTACCCTCCTAGTTCGAACTAGGAGGGTAATGTAGGCATACCGCACTTGCAAATGAAGCCCGGGATTTGAATTTCCCAGGCTTCATTCGCATAAACCGGGCGCCACCATTTTTAAATCCCTGCTTGTTCGAACCCCGTGCCGCGCGGCTACACGCGGCATGGACTAGGTAGTTCGGACTAGGCTTCCTAGTCCGAACTACCGTTACTCCTCGTGGAATGAGGAGTAACGGTAGTTTGGACTAGGAAGCCTAGCCCGAACTACCTAGTCCGTGCCGCGTGTAGCCGCGCGGCACGGGGTTCGAACGAGCTGTGATTTAAAAATGGCGGCGCCCGGTTTATGCAAATGAAGCCTGGGAAATTCAAATCCCGGGGTTCATTTGCAAGTGCGGTATGCCTACATTACCCTCCTAGTTCGAACTAGGAGGGTAGTGTAGACATACCCTCAAATTAGTGTCTGGCCAAGAAATTGGGGCTAACATTCTATTCTTGTAAGTAGTTAAAAGAGAGATCCTGTTTTATGATTCAGTGAACAGATTGCAACTCCCACAGCCTCCTAACATCATGCTGGGAGAGTAGTTCACTATTCAGTACTGAATCAGAGAGAAGAGTGCCACCTACTGAGTTTTTAAAACCACCTCCCACAGAAACTGGGCTTTCCTTGGAGGTCCCCCATCCATAACACTAACCAGGGCCAACTCTGTTTAGCTTAAGAGGTTTGACACAGTCATATTTCAAGGTGGTTTGGCTGTAGACAAAATCTGATACTTTGCAGATTAATCATTTTAATTTAAGTTTAATTCCTGCATTTTTTTTATTCTTCTGTACTTGGATACATTTTTATTCTAAGTGTTTTCTGCTATAACAACTAATTATGTCTGGTGCTCTTATCCACTAACAGTTACCTAGAGAAACTGTAACAAAACCATTTTGCAGAATACATAAGTGAATATATAACTATCTGGTATTTCGTTTTTTTTTTAAATTCCCATCCCTTCTGGATTGACTTTAGCAGCATACCTCTTGAAACTTGCAATGGTTTGCCTCAACCTGAAAATAATAAATGATGTAGGATACAAACCCCATCTTGCAAAATAGACAAACCAAGACCTTCCCTTGTGAGAACAAAGGGCTGGACAAATGTAAACACTAAAGATGTATGGTTGACAAAATAGGTTGCATGGGTTTGGAAAAGAAATAGACACAATAGATTTTGAATGTTTAACAAAATATAAAGAGAAGCTTACAGTAGGTAGACAGACCCTGAGGCCCTTACAGCTGCCTTTCTTCATGAGTGGTTCTGAAAGGTTGAGCAGGTCACTCCCATACAGTAGCTGCTATTATTAAGAATAGTACAAACTTACCTTCCCTTTATGAAAAGAAAAAGAGAATTGGCCTGCATGCTTCTAGCATCAATCATTAAAAAGTAAAACAAAACTATTTGCATATTACCTTTACTCGGTAAAAAAAGAATCTATTTAGAAATACAACAGTCAATCAAGGACCACTATACAACCATTAAAGATTACAATGCTTTTTTTCCCCACTGTGTCCTATTATTAGATGAAAAAAATCAGAGAATTCAGATACAACATAGACCATTTCTATGGCACAAAATGTTATATCAACACAATCACAGAGGACAACTGCTAATCTATTCTAAATGGACTTTGTTCAGAGCCAGGCTTGAATGATGAGTCATCAGTTCATAGATTCCAGGGCCAGAAGGGTAGAGCCATACCTAAGGTACAGTGAATCAGGACAACCGCACCAGATCCCAGACTTTGGAAGCCCTGGCACGATTGGATGGTGCAGCAGTCCTGGAAGTGACATATTTATCACTTTCACCCCAGGCCCCACACCCTCATAGGGACATCCCTGTAGAAGGGACCATTGTGATCAGCTAGTTCGATCTCCTGTATAACACAAGCCATAGAACGTCCCCCAAAATAATTTTAAAAAGTATGCATTTTAGTAAACCATCCAATCTTGATTTAAATATTACCAGTGTTGGAGAATCCTCTACAACTCTTGATAATTTTTCCAACAATTAACTACTCTCACCTGTAAAAAAACTTTATGCCTTATTTCCCACCTGAATTTGTGTAGCTTCAACTGCCAGTTATTGAATTGTTTTATAATTTTCTTTGCTAGTTTGAAGAATCCATTATTAAATATCTGTTCCCCACATACTAACTTATAGACTGTAATCAAGATCTCCTTTAACCTTCTCATTGTTAAACTAAATAGATAGACTCAAGGAACTCAATCACCAGTGCTAAATAGAAAGGTAAAACAATCTCAGTACTCCCCCTTGAAATTCCTGTTTATATAACTAAGGATTATAGTTATGTTTTTACCTCAGCATTGCACTTGGAGATCATATCCAGCTGATTAGTTATCACAATCTCCAAATCTTTTTCACAGTCACTGCTCCCAGGATAGAATCCTCCAGCATGTAAGTGTGCACTATGTTCTTTGTTTCTAGATATATACATTTACATATAGCCATATTAGAATACATATTGATTGCTTGAACCCAGTTTTCCAATACAGATCATTCTGTATTTGTGATCTGTTTTACCACTCCCACAACCCCAAACAGTCCTCCAACTTTTCCATCAGCTGCTAACTGTCAGAGTGATGATTTTGTTTTCTTCCAGATCATTAACAAAAGTGTTAAATACCTGGAGTCCAGGACAGATCCATGTGGCACCCCAATAGAAATACACTTGCTCAACGATGATTCCCCATTTACAATTACATTTTGAGACCTATTGGTTAGCTAGTTTTTATTTAATCCATTTAATGAGTGAATGTCAAATCTCAATGTCCACATTAAAAATCCTGTAGCTATCAGTATTGAAACAGACTTGACTATGTGCTAAAAAACTCTCAGGGGGGTTACCTGGTGCTGAGAACTTAATTTACACACAGTATTGCCAAATGAGTTTTAATGGATTTACATTAGATTTGAACCAACTTTAGATGCATCATTTCTCTCTTTCAACCATCTCTCACTCACTGCTCCTACCATGTGCTTGCAGTACGGTATATCTGATAATCATGTGTTTGCAGACCTGTGGTAAAGTAAACAAAACTTCAAAGGATTATTATGTAAAGAGCCTGCATTACTGCCATAGGCCTAATTGTTATTCTTCCTCACCACCCCTTGGGCCCAAAGTACATAATCATCCAGTAATTGAACTGAAATGCCTAAATGGCTGGATCCCCTAAAGGACATAGGTATTTTATCAGTGAAAAAAGTAAAGGAAATTTAACAGTCCCTTATGGCATTCTCCTGCCCTAGTAGAAATACTATATATAAATATAGCTGACCTGGACCCACTAAGCTCTTCTGAAATCATTATGGGATTGAGAACAAGGCTTGGCTGTTTTTGGGACTATAAAGAATGTAAAGATAAAAATAAAATTAAGCTGAATATAGAAGTCTTCATTTAACCCCCCTCTCTCCGCAATTTGTAAAGAATTAAGAAAGGGGGATAAAAACCTACCTATAACAATAGTATCACTAGCACTATGTGAAAGCAAACCCCTAGAGGTCCTCATATTTAATAGCCCCTCCAAAATGTGTAATAGATAGTGGATCCCAGGTTTTCACGTATTGTAAGTGTCATAGTACTCATGAGATAGAGCACCGAAGGCTCTGACAGCTCTCTTTTACATTCTAAATGACATCTGCCTTCAACAGAGCAGAAATAAGATTAAGAGAAACACCTGAGACAAATGCACTCAGCTTACCTCAAAAATGTAATATTTAAGAAGTACAGAGAAACATAGATCCGCCTTCTTGTACTGTAAGTAAGAACTAGTGTCAAAGCCTCAGAGATCTTCATAGCTGCAGAAAGACAACTACTACAGTATCCAAAGGACAATGGCAGCCTAAACCATGGCATTCTACTCAGTTTAAACTCCTGATGAAGTTCAAAGGGAGTTTTGCTTGAAGAAAGGTCTCATGAGTGGGCTCTGAATACACAGCAAAATTTACAAGTCCATTTATAGACCACAGGAAGAGTAACTTGGCAAAAGATTTTCAGCCAGTCTAACACTTCAGTGATCAATAGAATGCCCATTACTAATTAATACAATCACAATGATTTTGTACCTGTCAGAAGGTACATTTATGCAAGAATATTTTAAAAGGTTATTCATACTTATGGCTTATAATGAAGTATGTCAGCACACAGATCTTGAGGACATGATTTCGAATACATATTTGTTGGTTGATTGCATAAGTTATACTTCTTATTGCTTGAACAACACCTCAAAGGCAAAATAATGACGACATGACAATATATGTAAATCAAGAACTGCATGTGGGTTTATTTTACACTTGAGAAAACAGTGGATTTAATTGTGTGAACCAAAATGTACTGTACAATATTAATGATAAAACATCAAAATGTATAATTCATAGTGCATTGCTTGCTTTATTTTTATTTATTTATTTTTGTCAGATAGTTCCTTTAAGTACATGCATCTGGTAAGATGCAGGTGCCAGTAAAATGTATCTACTTAAATCAAGCTGCAGGAACTAAATTTTATTCAAAAAGTGTGGTTTTACATTATATACACCGAAGTCGAATATAAAATGACAATATAAAAAGGTAAAAGAGAAAGCATACAGCCAGAAGGTACAAAGAAAGTTAAACAGTTTAAAATGGTACGATATGTAACATGTAGTTTTTAAGCTGATGCTGGCAATTTACAGGAACAGAATCCAACATTTGCCCCATTTTTTTATTTTATTTTTTGTTTTCATTTACCAATGCAGCACACTATAGAAAGGTCAGCTTGTACCAAAGCTTAACATTTGTAAATAACTATAAACTGTAGTATTTTACAGGAAAAAAAGCATTTTACACTTTTTTTTTTTAATAACAGCTTGCATACTTTTTTTTTTTTTTTTTTTTTGCCAAAAAACATGGCAATTCTCAGCATCCGGAGAGTTTGGGCATAGTGGCAACTTGGTTTGCTCTTTTATATTATTATTATTTATTATTAATAAATTCATACAATTGTAGCTTCCTAACCTCTTGAGTACTAGATAGCTTTCTTTTGTCCAAGAACTGCATGCATGTTTTCCCCACAAATCAGTTCTGCATTAAAAAATGCTCATTTTAAAAAAAACCATTAGTACATTTTGTTTTTGACACAGCTTTGATTTGAATGAAATACCTTTAAGCCTCTTTATTTATTTAATTATTTGGAAAGGCACAGAAATGCTATTACAGTTCTCAGAGGGTTAAAACTTGACACTACTAGGTTCTGTGACCTTTATTGTCATGGCAACTTTGTAATTTTAGGATGTCTTTTTATCATTGTTCGTCGTGTCTTTCTTTACCACTAAATTAATGTCTCTCAAAAGTGTCTCCCACTATATTCTACAAAAGATAGCTTAACATCAAGGACAGATGTTGAAAATAAAGGTCAGACTTTGACTCACAAAAAAACCAAACCAAAACAAAAAAAACACCATGCACAGATCAGACAAAGAGCATATAAATATAACTACAAAATAAGTGTAAGAAAAACCAAGGTCCAGATAGGCAGTTCAGCAACAAAAGTAAGACTGATTTCAGAGGCTCAGGTCAGGCCTAGTGCAGTACTATGAAGAAGTTTAGTGCAATGTTCCTGTGGTCACTTGCATACCTAGCTGCTTACCTGGACACTATTGTTTTTCTAATTCAGTTACATAGATCAGATGGTCCTCTGGGGACTTGCCGTGTGTTTTACTAAGGTGCAGTTTGACTGCGTGCTTGCTTGCAAAAGTTCGGTTACAGAGCTTACACTGGAATGTGGAGCCCAAGTCCTCCTCAGCAATTCCAAGTGAGCCCAAAGTCTTGTTTGTGAGGACTTTTGAAACATTCTGCTGTTCTTGAATCTGATTTAGTGGCAATTTTGACAGATCCTTCAAACTAAAACCTAAATGTGTCTCTAAGTGACTTATGTACGTAGAAGCAGTCCTGAATTGAGAGGCACAATCATTGCAAAAGAAAACAGGATGTCCTGTGTCTAGGTTCTTTAAAAACTTAGTTCCACCTGTCCTCCTTAACTGATACTTCACATTGGCCAGCCAGTGGCTAATTGTGGTCATGGAAAGACCAGTAAACTTAGAGATGTGTACTCGCTCCTGTGGACCGAGGTCTGACATAATATATTTGCCTTCTGGTGTCTCCCTCAAGCTGGAAGCAAACTGTGCTTGAAGGATCAGAAGATGCTGAGGGTTCCAGTTGGACTGCCTGCCTTTCCTCTTGTGCACTGGTGACAGCTCATCCAGAGCTTCCTCAAAGCTGCTTCCATCAGCATCAGACTTCTCTGACACTGTGGATGGAGTTGAAGACTTGGGTGTCAAACGCCCAGTGAGATTTTTTACCATATCAGAAATATCCATGAGGGCACTCTCTCTTAAAGGAGAGGAGACAGAGTCAGCCACACTAGAAACAAGAGGTTTGGTTTTAGACTTGGTTAAATCAATGGGCTGATCACTGTTTTCATAGTAGTACCGGTCAATGGCATCGGCTTGCTTGACCGGAGTGGTCGGGTAAATAGGTTTGTCCAACATACTGTTGCTAATTTTGTACAACATGGCCAAAGGGTCCAAAGAGGGGCTTACTGGCTTTGAAACTTTGCCTAAATGTGTATTCATAATGGACTGTAAAGCACTCAATGGGTTAATAAAAGACGACTCAGGCGAATGATCTGTGATGATTCCTAAATTATTACAGCCATTTGCGACTTTTGCTTTGAGTGGTTCAGTACCATTTGGAAGCTGAACGTCAGCCAGACTGTCCTTTTTGACCTTCTGAACATCTGCATCAGGACTCTTTTTTTGCTGCTGTTTATTGTTTATTTCCTCCGATTTTGGAAAGTCTTTGTTTTCTTTAGCAGCAGGTGATGTTGGTTTAACTGGAGAACTCTTCTCTTTCTCTGTAGGTTTTTCTTCTCTCTTTACATTGATTTTACCTGTAACCTTCTCCACCAACTCCTCCATCGCAGACACATTACTTTTGTGAGGTGGGGGCGTGAGACTTCCTGGGGAATGGACGAGTGCACTGTGTTCCGACGACAGTGATTTTACACTACTGGCATAGGACGGCTGCATTTGAACACTCTGCACAGTGGGTTGCAAGGGTTTTACTGTACCTGGTAGCTGATAAGCTGCATGAATGCTGGGGTATCCTCCCCAGGAAGGTGCTCCATTCTGAGCCTTGCTGATAGCTGTTGTCACCGTGTTCTCAAGAGATTTCAATATGTCAATTCCACCTTTAGGACTGTCATCCAGATCCTCCTCTCTGAGGTACTGATACAAAGTTGTTGATTCAAATTTTTCCGTAGAGTCCTCGGTCTCCTCTTTAATCTTTTTGTCTGTTTCAATGACAACCACCTTTTCCTTTTCTGGGTCCTTCTTTTCCTCAGAGTTCGTAGATCCTGCCGGAGAATCAGGCTGCTTTTTTATGTTGGAGGCTGGCAGTCTCGTATGGGTGGTGGGTGGCAGAGGTATGGACTGTATCTTTTCTTCCACCACAGGGTCCAACACTAGCTGTTTTCCTTTTTTCGAGGCTGAGTTTGTCACCTTCAAAAAATGACCAGTGACCATCATGTGAGCGGTAAGTTGCTGCAAAGTGTCATGAGAACTGCCGCATTCCATGCATTTCAGTATCTGGGCTTTACGGGCCTCAAACTGCCAAGTGTAGCTAGCACCATTTTGATAGCCATAGCGATTGTTTGGAGTCACATAGGGATTGGCAGTTTTCTGATCCTTTGCAGCTTCACTCAATGCAGCCTCTGTGGTGATCCCTGTTGGCTCAGGTGAACAAGGTGACGCTAAGTCCTGAAGTGCTCGCTTTTTGGTCGAAGGGACCAGTTTTGTGATGGCTGGTACTGGTTCCTTCAGAGGCACTTTCTGGTAATGCTTTGTTTTTATCATATGGACACTCAGGTCTTGCAAAGATTCAAATGAATGCCCACAGTACATGCATTTCAGCACTTTTTGAGCATCCTCTTTGCCTTCCATTTCCATAAGAGAACGTTTTCTAGGCTTTGACCACCGTTTGGTCTTTTCAGATTCTTTATCTCTGTTGTCATCACGGTAGTGTCCAGTTTCATTCATATGCACGGTTAGCTCCACCAGGGTATCATAGGCTGCACTGCAGTCTTTGCATCGAAACTTACTAGCACCGGTGAACACAGACCCATAGAGTTTATTGTTTTGCCTGTAAAGCTGCACCGTGCTAAACAGACTGGGCTCTGGCAGAAGTCCATATGAAGAAGTCTGCTGCAAAGTTTTAGCTAATGCAGCTTGGTGCCAGTCATAACCTGAGCCACTGCTGTTACTGGTATTGGTATTACAGTTACTCGTACTAGTACTGGTGTTGGTACTGGTGCTGTGGGTGTTGGTATTAGCATTGCAATTGGTGGTGTTTTCATTCTGGCTGATTTCATTGTTGCTGGTGGTTGGACTGGATTTCTTTAAGTCTAAAGCTAAACTGGACCAGCAAGACTCTGAGAGTAAATTTGCATACACAGCTTTTATTTGTGCCAAGCTGTCCTGTGGATAGGAAGCACTGTCTGTGCACTGATGATCCTCCTTTTCTTCTTTAGAAGAAGTGCTTTTGAAATGGGCCAGTTGATCGCTGTTTTCACTGAATGGCGAACCATAGCCTGCATCTTGATTAGTTGCAGTGCTGACTGGGGAGTTCTGGTAGCTTTGAGCCTCTTTGATCTCTGTTTCTTCATTGCACAAATATTCACTCTCCTGGATGTCCAGAGACAGCCCGTCATCCTCCACTCTGTCCTCATCTATTTCCGCTGCCTTCAATTCCTCTTCAGGAACATATGCTTAAAATGTAGAAAAACAAGACAAAGTTATGGAATGCACACATTTTATATCTGTCATTTCTTAAACTAAATGCAGTAATGATTAAGGCATATTTTAAAAGTACATCAGCCCCACCAGCTAGAGCCCTATAAACCTGCAGATGGCTGGAGATAGCCGCAGCTCATTTTTGTGGATATGGATGCAGATACAAATTTTGTTATCCAGAACCCTGCAAATTTGTGGATATCTGCAGATATCCACACCTACAGATGTTGATGCAGATATCCGTGGCTCATTTTTGTGGGTATGGATGTGGAAAATTTTGTATCCGTGCAGGACTCTACCACCCGTAACACAGTCAGCTTGTGAGCCCTCAACTTAACATTGACCTTAACTCTTAATAAAGAGTGTGAATTTTTTGTGCTAGCAGAGTAACATTCCAAATACAGTACCACAAAAGCCACTATCATTATTTTTAAAAAGCATTAAGCCGATTACTCTCCTCAAGAGTAATTAAATGGAGCAGTTTCAGGCAGTGAGATACCTTAGCTCGATATGTGTAGAAAGTAGACGTGTGAGGCTGACATCTGCTGCATGAACCCAAGTTCTTAAAATCACTGGTTGGACTACACCCTCAGGGGCAATCTTCTTGGCAAAAACAGTTGCCAACAACTGACTCTAATGGAGCCATACTTGGCAAAAGTGTCAGGTCAATTACTGAGGGGTTCCTGGTGGCTGGTTGCATTGGGTTCATTAGAGAGTGGAGTAATGTCACAGCTCTGGGCTTTCACTGGCATAGGACAATTTTGAACATAAACACTAAAGTGCTAGACTGAATTAAAGAGGACAACACAAGGAAAACAAAATTATTATTGTTTTGTATGAAAGACGTGGGTGCCACGTTACTATTCTGGCAACAGCAGTTGGTAGCTAAAAATAAAATAAATGAGCGAGATGAATATTTAGAAGTGACAAACATAAACCATAAGACCACAGTGATTATTGGCTTACAGTAAATATCAAACTTTGCTATTGTATTGCCATCTGGTGAAACTGTACAAATTACACGTTCATCTATATCAAACTATTTTTTAGTTAGCAAATGTGATATTCATGAGCAGATGGTCACTATATCAAAATACATTTACTCCAAGGGCCCAATTCACAAAAGTGGCTTACATGCACCTAAATGATAAATGTACATTTTCACTGCATAGTAGAAAACATATATGTAGTCTTTTGTCTCCACATTTATAAAAGGAAGCACTTGGCCAGAAAAATCACCTTGGCTGTAGAACATAGGTGAGTTTATGTGCAAATCAAAGCAGAAAATAAACATGGGTTGAAAACAGTTTCCTGATGCGGAAAAAAATATTTTCACGTTGGGTGAATTGTGCACAGAGCCATTCTGAAATGTGTGCAATTCCCTTGCAGAAAGAAAGGCTGAAAGAAAGCCAGAAAAACACACTTCTGCTCCAATGTGATATGGAAAGAAAAAAAATACACTTATCACGTTAGGAAGTTTCAGTTGTTAGGTGTTAATACAATTTGTACCAGATTTCACAAGCAGTTGCTAATTCTTTCATTCCCAGAATTTTTCTCCTTTAAAAAAGCAAAATTTAATACTCCCATTTTAGCAGAAAAACTATTTAAAATGCCTATTTTTACAGAACAATAGTATCTTTAATCAATATGTGATAATTCTTTGTTTACAGAAGAGCCCTAATATTCTCCCTGCCCAACTGCAGCCCAATATTTCAAGACGACAGGGCACGTGGCTTTTCCATTTCCAGTCCCCTACACTGTCCACCTCAACCTTCTACCCAGTCTATCACCGCCTGTCTCATTCTTATTTCTGGAAATATTTTTGTTTTACTAAAAACAGTTAAAAGTTACAATTGACACTTTATTTTGGCTACCCTTTTTAATAATATTGTACCTGACAAAGTTTCATGCAAAATATTATTAAAAAGGGTAGCTGACCTATAAGCCCGTTTTTTAAAAAAAGTAATGGTATCAAGAAGGGGAAGGAGGAGGAAAAGACGGGACAAAAAAGAAGCTGGAGAAAAGGCTCCGAGGGAATTAGAAAGATGATTTTCCCCAACAAAGAAAAAGAAAGAAAAAACTACTCTTCATTTATTCTGTAAAAATCTCAGCTCTTACATTGTTATCACAAGAATGTCACCAAGTGTCCACAATGTATTACAACGTTGTAATACTATTACCTTTATAATTTCAAATTGTGTGTGTTGTAGAGGAATCTACTAGCATAGCTATAGTTAAGGGTCTGTCAGTACTCTCATTATGCATTCCTGTTTTCAGGTATTTATAACTGCAAAAGAAAGTATTTTTATTTTATAGGAGGGCAAACACAGACAATTATGGAGTTCTCGGGCCTTTTTTCTGACAATATTTTTCTAAATTAAAAATTCTAGGCTCACAGTGCATAATTAAGCCCTTCTGGCATTTTTTCTTTACATATAAAACTATGAACTATTAATGTCTGACGGTCAGATGAGCTGAAACTTAATCAGTCATATTATCAGTTGGTATATATTAATGTAGCTTTACTAACTTCAATTGCGCTATGCCAATTTACACCAGCTGGCAATCTGAACCACTGTTTTTAATGAACAATACTAACAGCTTCAAATTGCAAATCAGTGCTCCGGGTTAACAATCTGCATGACTCGTCTACTAGATCGTTATTTTTCAAAAGAGATAAAAATTACATTTTTAAAAATACCTGTTTCAAATCAGTTTCTACATGTAAATTATAACTGATTCAATTTATATATCTTTTCTCTTTATATGAGATTATTTTTGTGTTTACTCTCATATACTGTTGATTGGTGGGAAAGTATTCTTTTATTTCCACCATAAAGGGAATTAAACTACATCAAAAAATTGTTACATGAAATGTTTGGTGCTAACCCATTAAAGCAAAGAACTTGTGTGTTAAAATGAAATTCCTTATTTCACCTTTTTTTGCCTCCGAGTTTTCATTGAGACTACTACAAGAGTGAGTTCTTGGATAGACAACTTTCTGTCTTAATGATGACTTTCATTTCTTTCAAAATTTAAAGTCAGAACCTGAAAACAATGCACATTTTCAGATATCTGTATATATGTACACACACGCACACACAGAGTTCTATACAATGTCTCAGCAAACACACACGCACATGCACAATGGACATTAAGTAACAAGGTAGTTTATTTGAAATGTTTTTAATGTATATCATTACCATTAGAAACTGTTTCATTGAAACACACTGATTATTGTTGAAATAAATATAATGCTTTTGATTCAGGACTTTAATAATATTTCTAGAAAGAATATTACTAAACACAACCAAATATGATATTTCACAAGGTCGGTGACATTTTCTAGTCCAAAAGTGTTCTGAGACAGATTACAGAAGAACAGATTACAGAAGAACAGAAAATAAAGACAAAGTTCCTACTTTTCAAAATATATATTTACTAAAATTTCCCCTTGGGAAATCTGATCACTGAGTAGGAGTTGGAATTTTAAACACAGCAAAAATTTTCCTTCCACAGTTACTTGTATAGATAAGTATTATTAACCTACACCAAATAAAACAGAGAAATTGAGATGCTCTCTCATTTTAAAAATAACAGACTGACAGACAAATTGACAGAAAGATTCCAGTCATTTTTGTGTGTATGTGCTAAAACATCTCCCATCACTTTCTTCATTTACTTCCTGCATCTACAAAATGGTGTAAATTGTGATACCAGTTTACATGTATGTCCTGAAACCACACTGAAATATCTAGAGCAGCAATACAAATTCATCTCCAGTAACTTCACTATACCCAAAGCAGAAGATATTACAGTGCATAATGTTACCCATCCCTCTCTCTCTCTCTCTCTCTGAAAAAAAAAATCATCAAATTACAGACACAGGAAGAAATAACTAGCGATTGGAAGCGGTCTGCTTTTCTTTTTATTAAACCTTGTTAATATTTCTTGCCCATAAGATGTGCCTTCTGGATGCTAGTGTTTCCCCATAGATGTACTGTCATCTCTGAACAGCATTAAAATCTGTGCATTCTAATATAAGTGGACATGAGGCACTGTATACTGTACATGTTAGTGGTATAGCACATTGCATTTGCTTCAGTGAGAAGGTTTAACTATAAATACACAGCCACTGTTTGAAGATGCAAACACACACTGGAAATACAAAGGTATCTTTACAAACCTTATAGTCTTAATGTGAAAATACATAAAATAACTTCTTAATTCTTAACCCAGTATTTCTGATTTTTTTTCTTTTAGTATAGATATTCTTTTCCATTTATAAAATGGATTGTAGCATTCAAACATTATTTTAGAGATAGCAAAAAGTGATAACTGCATAGGTTTTCAACAGCTAGGCACTGTAAATGTAAAAAACACTATCAAGGCCAGACAATAATGGATCAAAAATAATTGTAAGGCCCCAATTCAGTAAAACCTTTAACTAAATACATAACTTAAGTATATGCTTATGTCCCCTTGAAACCAATGAGACTCAAGTATGTGTTTAAGCATTTTTCTGAACCGGGTTTGTGAATAATTTATTTGTTGAATCGGGCCTAACTGGGGACAAAACAAATGTGGTATCTTTATGAACCATCATCATTCAGCACACAACAGGCATGTTTTCACAGCATCTGATGTTTATCCATCCAACAGAAAACAGCAGCTGAAGTTTCCACGATTCACTATTGTCATCTGGAATTAATCAGGTTCCTGTCTGGAGGTGTCTTACACTTATGTGAAAGCGTATTTCGTACCTCAAAAAAGGTTAGACAGATTGAAAATATATCGGTAAATATATACATTGTCTCTCTTTCTGAGTTCAGTATTAGTGATTCACAAAAGAGAATCCAAAAGCCAACACTGCAAGGTTTAGAATATCTGCTGGAAGATTTGAAAATGTTCCAAATTAGAAATACAAGTTCTCATTAAGAATCATAACAGAGATCCAAGAAATAGTTGGATCACCAAAGAAAGCTGGAGATGAATGAGTCCATCCACCTCTCTTCTCCCTCTGTATGTGTGTGTATTTTTACAGTGTCATTATTGTGCTAAAAATGGTTTCCTTACAACAATTACTGAAGAGCAGTACAGCCTCTCTCAGACAACCAAAGGACATACTCTAGTAGTTTGTTTCTTCCATTTACAACTGCATGTAAATAGGGGGCAAAATAGTGAACTAGCACTCCCTTCCTTGTAATTTTAATATAATGGGTCTAAAAAGTAGATACATTATTGCAACAAGAAGGACCTCTGTGCTTCTAGCAAGTTGAATGATAATCTTAAAGGCAACCCATTAAACACCAACAAAAAGATTCCTCACCTCCTTCTCTGCCTCCCCTTACCCACTGTCCATTCCCCTTGGAATGAATGCTGGAAATTATTAGCCAACCTCTGCAACTGGAGACAGAAGCAGCTTGCATGCGGGCGTATTTTCACAGAGATTCTAATCTGAGAAATGTACTTGCTCTTCCTCCTCTATCTGATAAACTATACATTCAAGCATTCTCATTAGTGTTCAGATCACCAAAGAGAGCTGGAGATGAATCAGTCCATCCACCCCTCCTCTCCCTGCTTTGTCGAGATTATTTCATTGAAATGTTCATTTTCGTCCCTGTTGGCAACATTACAATGGAAGTATTTAACCTGTTTCCATTACTTATACAAATTACCATTATGGGGTAGGACAGATGTTAGAATCATGCCACATAACTGACTTCCCTACATTCTTTACAGGGAGGATAAGAAGAGGGAAAGCTGTTAGATCATATTATCCAGTCTCAATAATGTTCTCTCTGCTACTAGATTCATTAACTCCCAACATCAACATTTCACTTTCTTTCTGTGTGAAAATGCTCCGTCTCGTTGAGCTCATTTAATTTGGAGCAGGAAGACTTTGTCAGGAATAATTTTTTGATCGGGTGCTCTAACTAAGGAATAAGGGGGGAGGGGAGAGAAAGAATAAAGAAAGGTGGGGAGAACCCAACACCTTGTCGAAAATGTTATTCCTCTAACATGGATGATGAAAGAGAAGTCAGTTAAGATGCTGGTACTCAAAGATGGCTGTCACTTCAGATAGGGGATGGCACGACTCACCTCGACAGGTGACACTTTGGTGGAGCACAGGCTTGCTGCATTATTGAGAGCACCAGAGATCAGGATGACAAAGACTGTAGGCCCAGGGTGCCTGGGGCTTCGAGGAAAGTGAATTCGGCAGGCAGATGGATTTCAACCTCCATTTGCATTACTAACTAATAGTGAAGTACAAAACAAAAGTTTGAGGATCAGAAGGTTACCAGGGAAGCACATGGGTACAAGGGAAACAGCCCACTCTCTCAATAATATCTTCCTGATAATTCTGAAAGAGGAGATGAAGAACTCAGAAGATTTAACGTTAAAAAAAATCGTTTTGCTCCAAA